TTGTACGTAACAGGTGTCATCCTTTCCCATGTGCTGAATGACAACACCATAATAGGACTTAATTGGCATCCAAGAAGGTTAGCATGGCTATTGGTAGGGGGTTCTTTGCGTGTGGCTGAGTGGTGATTTCCAAACAGGCCAGGCTGGCCAGTCACTTATCTGGGGGTGCATGGTTATCCAACTCCCCCGTGAACCCAGACATCATTAGTTGGAAAGCCAGAGAGTCTTCCCATAATGTTTGGGAATGCTTAAGAGGAAAGGGCAATATAATCTTGTCAGGTTCCTTTCCGAATATGTGCCTGGCTGTTTGTCCAGCCTTAATTGCTAACTTGAAGGCAATATCATACTTAGAGCTAAGAACAGGACAGGCTGGCCAATTGCTTATCTGGAGGTGTGGTTACCCAACTCCCCCGTGAACCCAGACATCATTAGTTGGAAAGCCAGAGAGTCTGCCCATAATGTTTCGGAATGCTTAAGAGGAAAGAGCAGCATAATTTTGTCAGGTTCCTTTCCGAATATCAACCTGGCTGTTTGTCGGGCCTTAATTCCTAACTTGAAGGCAATATCATACTTACAGCTAAGACTAGTTAGGTCTGAGGTAGTTAGGTGGATCCACGCCAGGGGGTCTTGCTGCCATAGGGCCCCCAAGACACCATTTTTAGTCCAGAGGTTCAAGGCCAGTAATGATTCTGCTGGGTCATGACGTCAGAGTGACACAGACCAGAGTATATGATCTATCTTATTAAGAAGATCCTTAGCTGACTGGGTGAGAGGAGGGATTCTTAAAGTTGGTGAATTATGGACTTCCAGCAGGGAGAGCAAGGCCTGGAATTCCAAGTCAGGGACTGATATAAATTGTTTGATCCAGTTTATAGTCCCACAGAGTTCTTGGAGCTCAGTCAACGTATATACAGTTTTTTGCAAGATGGAAAGGTTAAGCGGTTTAATTACAGTATCTATATGGTAGCCAAGGAATGTGAAAGGTTGGATGTATTGTAACTTGGCTCATGCAATGTGGAGACCTGGACATTCTAAATGGCAAGCAGACTGGGTATATGCAACCTGTAAAGTATTGTGAGATTTGTGTGCTAGCAGTATGTTGTCCACATAGTGGATGACAATTAGGTCCTTGGGGATTTTGGTTAAGGCCTTATTAACATATAATTAACAGATTGTGGGGCTATTTTTCATACCTTGTGGTAGTACCTTCCATTGGTATCTCTTGGCTGTTCTTTGAAAGTTGGGCTCCCATACTGTGAAGGCAAAGTGAGGTCTGTCTTGTTCCGCTAGGGGGATTTGGAAGAAACAATCCTGGATATCAAGTACTATGATATGATGGGATGAGGGGATAGCTGTAGGGTGTGGTAAGCCTGCTTGTAGTGAGCCCATCTTTTCCATCTGGGCATTGACTGCTCTAAGGTCTTGGAGGAGTCTGTATTTCCCCAATTTCTTTTTAATAACAAATATTGGGGTATTATGTTTACTGAGAGAGGGCTCGATGTGGCCAAGCCTCAATTGTTCAGCTACCAAATTTTTGAGGGCAGATAATTTAGGTTCTATTATAGGCCACTGGTCCACCCAAATGGCATCATTAGAGAGCCAAGTGATGGAGATCAGCTCGGGGGCCAAGATTGGAGTCAATCCTGGGCTGGCAGTGGCCGTTAGGATTGGAGGTGTTGGGCAAGGTGTTGTCCTTTCCCTGATAGTCCCAAGTTATCATGGAGCATGATATCATCATAAAAGGCATGGTCATCCTTGGTAAGGACCACGCCCATGTCCTCTAGGATGTCTCGACCTCATAAATTATGGGGAACATCTGCTACTATGGGGGTAACTGTGCCCTGGTTCCCATCCAAGCCCTTCCAATATACTGGACGTGTGACCAGCTTGGTATCTTGTTTTCCGCCAGCTCCTTTTATTGGTGGGCCTGGCCGGTATTTCCAATGAGGGAATTTAAGGGATTCAGTTTCTGGTATAATGGTGACATCAGCCCCTGTATCTACTAGGCCCTTTATAGCAGTTCCATCTAGGAACAGGGTCATTAGTGGGGAGTGGTTGAGGATTGGGAGAGTCCATAATATCTGTCTCGTTTCCCCTCTTGTGGGCAGGGCTGAGGGGCACCCTGGGTGGAGTTTAAAGGAGCCAAGTCCGGTTGAGGCTGTGACCTACAGTCTTTAGCCCAATGGAACCAAACCCTAACCCTAACCCTCTTTTGCACTTGGGCAGCGAGTCTTGAGGCAGGCTGTACTTCTTGGGCAGTGGCTACAAAAGTGGCCAAGCCCCCCACAGTTCCAGTAGCCTTCCCATGCACCAAAGTGGGCAGGTTTTCCTTGCAACAAAAGAGTCTCCAAGGAGGCGGTCAAAGCCTCAATAGGGCCCGCCCTAGGGTGTAAGTCTCTAGTAGCGAGTACCCATTTGTGAATGTTATCATTGCGGACAGGCATCATAGCATTATAAGTAGGGATGTTTAGTCCCTCCCAAGTTAATTGTTTGATAAGCACCTCTCTCTCGGGTGGGTCCAGACTCCACCCTCTGCTCTACTGCCTCGGTGACATGGTTAAGGAAGTCCATGAAGGACTCCCCTGACTGTTGAATCAAATTACGGAAAAAGACTTGTGGGTCATGGGGGGGGGGGAGCAGCATTTAAGGGCCTTAAAGGCCAAGTCAGAAACTTGTTGAAAATAGGCATGGAGACCAATAGTAGACTGAGAGATGGGGTCAGTATATTGTCCATGTCCCGTGAGCGTGTCCAACATAATGTTGAGGCCATATTGGATATTTAGGCGTGCCTGGTTTTCAGCCTGATCGTCATAGGCTGCGTACCAGTTTAGAAAGACTGAGGGCTCTAAGACTGCCTTTAGTAAGCTATACCAATCATAGTGGGTTTGTAAACGTAAGGACCACTGGCAAAGAACCTGTTCAAAATATTGGGAGTCAGGGCCCAATTGCTCAGCTGCCTTATGGATAAGAACGAGGTCAACAAGTGGGGTGGGCAGCCATTGATGCTGCGCCGCATCGGGCCGACATTAACCAGAAATGCGGACAAAGGTGGGTGAGGCTTTAAGGAGGGCAGTCTAGGAGGGAGAGGCACATTAGCAGGGGAAGGGGCAGGATGGTTACTGGGGGGAGAGAGAGTAACTCCTTCCACGGGTAATGGGGCCGGGGAATTTCTGGGCATGGTAGCTCTAGGAGAGTATCCTGAGATATAGGCAAAGGAGCTCCTTCCTTATTGGAAGTGGGCGCAGAGGCGGCGTCCACCTCCGGATCCGGGAGGTCCGGGTCGAGGTAATAGCCAGATCTACACTAGATTGCTCCCGGCAGTGTTTGTTGTGGGCCGAGATGACTTCCTCAGGAAACGAGGATTTAAGGCTAGCAATGATGGCTAGGAGGATCGATACTAACAATGCAGGGGGACTGATCCCTGACTCAACCTCCCTTTTTCGGGCCAGGAAGAGGACCCGCATCCACGTGTCAGGGTCCCACATGTTTTCAGGGGAGACCCACGGAGCCAAATTAGTGGCTTCATCCCAAAAGTGTTCGATATCTTTTGGTTTCACTTTCCGTCCTCTGGTTTTAAGGAGCACCTTGAGTGCCACCGTTTGTGGTTCCCTGCTTGTGGTGGTAAATTGCCCATTGTGGGAGAGTCTCGCCAAGGGGAATTTGCCACAAAAGTAGAAGATGAGGGTGACTACCAAGAGAGCACAAAGAAGCACTGTGAGCCACTCAAATGTAAACCGCCACAACATGTAAAGGTGTATTGGGTCCAAATGTCTTGTGCTCAGTGAGGGAATTCTGGAGGCCATGACACCTCCAGCCGTCTGCTCACACGGTGTCTCCGGGACAGGCAACAGGGTGACTCGAAGCCTGGGCTCTGAGTTTGGGGTGGATCAGCCCTTATGTGAACTCACCCGGACAAGCCAAGAGGGGGGAGGTGCCGACTTGGGCTTTGGAACCACGTGGCGGAGTGTGCCTCCCTGACCTAACAAACTAGTCCAACAATAAAGATGACAGACAGGGTGGAGGGGACAGAGAAGGGGGCTACTCGCTTACCCTCGAGCAGCCAAAGAAACAGACAAATCCAGGGGCCTACTTACCAAACGAACCAAGGTTCTGGGTGTCGCCAACACTGGCCAGGTGTTGCAGGTTCTCCTCAGGCCAACTGTGAAGACCCTGACCTGGATCGGGTCCCCTGCCAATTCGGGGGGCAAGAGGTGCGGAGTCATGACACACAGACCCCAGGAGTTGGATAGAAGCGAGCACTAGGCGAGGTACTGCAGGCTCGTTTAATGCAGGAAGGGGGCAGGCCTTATATTTCCCTTTTCTCCTCCCCCAAGTCCCTTTAGTCAGCATATCATTTTCTGATTGGTCCGCACCACGCAGTCTGTCAGCAGCCACTGGGCTCATGAGCAGGGTACTGAGGTGTGGGCTCCTTTTGGCGGGCTATTTGCGGACCAAGAAGTGAAGTGAATTCTCACTGAATCCCAGGGCTCTGGGTCCACACCATCTTTGGAGGCCTCCTGCTACGGTCCACTTAGACGATGTGGGTTTCCAAGTGTGTCTTCTCATCCCTTCCTATTCATTCTTTACTCATCCCCAGCCAGATGTCACTGGCTCTTAATACCTAGTCTATGCCACTTCCTCCCATGAGAAATTCCTTGACCTGCCCCCACCTCATCCCCAGCTGGAGTGCTATAAAAGGGTTGATCCCTATCCAGACGGTACTGGGCATTCAACAAGGCCCTGGATTATACATTCAACATTCAACAGGGTCCTCTGACTACAGTCTAAGTGAGCACTTTGCTCCAGACTGAGTGCCACAGAGGGTCTGGCTGAGTAGAGATGGGCTCTAGGTTGGACCATATTCTGAGTACCTACATTGGCTCTAGAAACCAGGCTCTGTTAGGTTTAACCAGATTCTGAGCATAAGCCACACCATGGACTTTCATTTCCTCCTCAGTAGTGCTGGTGTTTCTAATGAAAGACAAGTCAACAGACACACAAAAGGAAACACTAAATCATTTATTGCAAAGTCAGACTGGCAGCCTGAGAAGCAAGGAAGTGGTTGGACTCCACAAGGCCCTTCTGTAACAGAGGAGTGAAGGAACAGTAAAAAGAAAAAGAGGATGGGATGATCTGGGGCTGCGGGTGGGCTCTGGTAAAGTGCTCACCTAGCACTCATAAGACCTTACGTTCTAATCCCAACATAGAAAAAAGAAAGAAAAAAAGACCACTTTCTCCACCTGCTCTTCTCTCTCAAGAAAAGCACTTTTTCTATGCAGTCTCTACGTTTCTTTGGGTATTGCTGGCCACACATTGGCCAGGCCCAGGCCTCAGTGAACAGAAAGGAATTCCAGATACAGGGAACATTCTCAGGACAGCAGCAGCCTATCTGCCTGAGACGCCAGACCCAGGTCGGTTGCAGCCACAGTGGCTCTTCTGGGCTCAGTCCTGCAGGAAATGTTGAAATTGACCTGTCCTTGGCCCAGAACAGGCAGCTGAGGGCATTTGGGCATGCGGACTCCACCAGAACCTATCACCTTGCCTTCAGGATTAGGCGGGTTTTCCCATCTCCAATGAAGAGCCTACAAAAAAAAAAAAAGCCCTGTGAAGTCTCCATTCCCCTGGAAGAAAAACCCAGCTTTCCATGACAGGTCTCTTGGCACAGAATTCTCTGGACAGATAACTTTCTATACCTTTCTAATCCAAATAGCCACCTCCAAGCAGTGGGACACTGTTTCCTCTCTGATTTCCAGCCCTTTTCCTGAAGGTGCTTAGCAGCCATTTGGAAATCAGCAACAGAGTGATTAATGATGCTTTACACTGAGCCACAGACACATCCAGAGGCCCCTGGACTACAGTAGGCAATGGTGCAAGCACTCTAGATGCATCCACCCCAGTGCCTGCCCTTCCCTATGGGGACACCCTGTACTGTACCACCTGGAGCAGAAGGAACATGATAAGTAGAGAGCCCCAAGAGAAAAGATCAATGACATATCCTGATAATGTCAGTCTTGTTATCCACTGCACAATTCTGAGGAATACTACTCATGCTGTGTTGTATGTCCCCTGACAAGCACACCCTGGAGGCACCATTTACATACTCGTTAAGTGGATGGGGCCTCTGGGGTTGCACAACAGCCCTGTAGGGACTGCTCCTCCCTTATTCTCAGTCGTGTAGTGACTCAAGAAAGCTGAACCCCACTCCAGCACTTAGCTTGTATTCTAGACATAACAAGAGTTCAATTCACAGTTCAACCTAACTCTTGGCTAGTGATGAATTCAAATATGGGCCTGTGACCCAGGCTGGGTCCACCTAAACCCCTGAACAGACACAGCACTTTTGTCAGAGCTAGTATTCTAGTTTCTCTGAGGTTGTTAAGCTGTGATCATATGAGTATAGAGAGGTCTCTTTTAGAAAGCCAGTCTAAGCATGAAACCCACCCAGAGGAAAGGAAAGCCTATGAGATAGCCCAAGGCCCCAGGAATGTGTTTGAGCATGTGTTACCTATGAATTTTCCAATCAAGACTCAATGAGTCTCCCTTATAAAGTAGATTTCTGTCAAAGATGGTTTGCCTCCGAAGAGGTCCTTTCTGTCTTCCAAACCCAAGTGAGAGTCCAACCCTCTGGCCCCAGGTTCTTTGGAAGCTGTTCCCAAGGGTCCTGGTCACCCTCCTACCTAATAAGAAGTCCTACAAGGAGGCCAGCCAGGAGGGGACCCAGCCAGTAGATCCAGTGGAAGTCCCAGTAGCCAGCCATCACAGCAGGTCCAAAGGCTCGAGCAGGGTTCATGCAGCCTCCAGAGACTGCACCCCTGAAAAAACACAGACACACAGCTTACCAGCATCCCAGGAAGGTCCCACCTCAAATATATATCCCCAACCAGGTCTAGAGCTCACCTCACCCAGACACTCTTTCTAAACTCCCATACCAGGAACTCCTGGGTAGATCCCCCAAAAAATGTAAGGAGGTCTTAACACTAGGCAGACAAAGGATGATTCCTTCAGAAAAACAAATCGGCCGCTCCCTACACGCTCTTCGAGAACAACAGCCAACAAAAACACATGCTTACTCATGACAGGAAGAAAAAAAATGATCAAGTTGCTCTCCAAAGCGTATAAAGCAAAGTCCGAGCCACATCACCCACTTTGGAGTCCAGTTGACCTACATTCAAAGCCCAGCCCAGGTAGGTCTAGCTCTGTGACCTTTGTTTAACCTCTCTGAGTTTCCACTGAGGTGAAAGTACCCATCCTATAGGTTGTTGTCAGGAGCAAGTGACAAAATGACCATTGAGCTCAAGCCTTTCTCTTAGTGAATGTACAAGCAGTCACTGTAATCCTGCTGGCCCACTGAAGCCCTTGTGCCACAAACTTGGGGCCCAGACTTGTCCATAGGGGGTCTGTTCCCAGGTGAGCCTCTCTAGCTCTGGTTTCTGTCTCCATACCCCACGCCTTCAGGCTGGGGTCCTGCAGACTTCAGTGGATCCTGTGTCCAAACGCTGGTCCAAAGGGCTGGTTCAGCACATTTGTAAGAAAAGCTGGTACCACTAGGGAGCAGCAAAGCACCATTACCAATCTTCAGCAGCCCCAGCCCACCCTACATTCTACCACCTAAAGTGATAGAGACCTGAGCCCAGAGAAAGCTAGAGTTGGTTCTTTGTTCAAAAGAAAGGAAGGAAGTGACCCCTGACATTCTCCAGCAAATACGGGCGCATGCCTCAGATCACTTTATTTCCACTCTCAATGATCCTAAGACACTTCTAGCCTCTATGAGCCTCAGTTTGCCCACCTGTACAAGAGGCTCGCAATAAATGAGACCATGGGTAGAGATGCCCTTTGTAAGCCTGAGGCAATGGCCTGCAGGGATGTTTTATTTCTACACAAAACTGGAAATTGCATAAAAATCTAGATCTCTGACTTAACATGAAGTAGGAGGGTCACCCCAAACCCTCTTTCTCACACTGCCAAAATCACCTAATACTACCTAATACCACAGTCTCCACCACTGCCTGCTGTCTGCCCAGAACAAGCCTGCTTTTCCCATCTGCCATGCATTCCTGGCCCCTGTTGCGTACTGAGACAGGGCCTGACCTGTCATCAGATCTAGGCACTCATCCTACTACTGAGGGACACTCACCCTGCCAAGATATCCACAGTGACAGAGAAGCCAATGGAGAACGGAGCCAGAGGGCCCTGCGTCTTCTCATTGATGGCACCCATGCACACAGCCAGCGTCAGCAGTATCGTCAGGATGATCTCTGCCCCCAGGGCCCCAGCCACCTGCCCCTGCTCCTGGACTGTCGCAAAAGCTGCCCCAGTTGCGTTCCAGAACCTCTCCTCTGGGCTCACTGCCTGTGGGGAGAAGCCAGTCAGCCTCAGTGGAGCTGCATGGAGAGGACCTAAGGCCTGTCTGCAATGGGGCATATTTCATAATCAGCAGATGAAGTCGGCCTCAGAGGAGTGGAGCACTGACAGGAGGAAGAGGGGGAGGAAGGGAAGGTGGGAAAGAAGGAACAGGAGAAAGTAGAGCCAAGGGAAAGGGGGGCGGAACCCGTGGAGTTATGTTAGAACTAGAAAACTGTTGTGTCTCCCTCTAGGGATGAAGTTCTATTGTAGAGCACCTGCCTGGCATGCTGGAGACCCACAATTCCAACCCCAGTGCTTGTGGGTGGGGGATCTGCAGCTGAGAGGAAAAACTAGCTTTTTTGATTGGATGGAAAGCTTTCAAACATAAACTGAATGCCAACTCCCACGGGCAGCACCTCTGAAAGAAGACTGAAGAGCAGCATTGAGGTGGGAACTTCTCAAGATGACCACATTAGTCAGGCCACCTCAGTCAGTGCTTTGTGAGAAAGTGAATGGGTGAGTGAGCGGAAAAGATACTAAAACCATCCAAGTCCAAGAGCACATGGCAGTATTACGGGGCCTGGGGCAAGAGGGTCACAGATTCAGGGCTAGCCTGGGACACTTAACAAGATCCTGTGAAGACCAGAAAGACCTTCAGGAAGGAGGGAGGGGGAGGGAGGGAGGGAGGGGAGAGAAAGAAATGAAAGTACAGGGAAGGAAAGGGAAAAGAAAGGAAGGGAGGGGAGGGAGAAATGTGAGGGGAGGGGAGACGGGAAAAGAAGGTCTTCCAAATCCACTCCAAACCTGGAAATGGACTCAGGAAGAAAATGTCAAATCCCTGATTAGTTTCTTGGTCTGACCAGGGAAGGTGTGCACAGAATATGGTAGGCGTGGAGGAAGCCAAAAGCCCTTCGAGTGTCTCCCACTCCAGCAGAGAGAAGGGTCATCCAATCCCACCGACAAGACAAGCAAAGACTTGGCATTACCCTTTCCCCACCCTCCACAACTCTAGATGCCCCATCAGGACCAAGCTACCAGCCCAGTCCCTGGAGGGATCACCCACCTTGGCTAAGGCAGCCCCAATCAGACCCCCGCACACTTGGGAGATCCAATAGGGCAAAAGCATCATCACGTTAAGGCCTCCAATCAGTGTGGCCGACAATGATACAGCAGGGTTAAAGTGTCCTCCACTGAAACCAAGAGAAAAGGAAGTAGTTAGACCAAGGTCCAGGCCTGACTCAGGGCTGTTCCTTGACAGTATTTTCCCTAACTAGTCCCCCAGACTGGCCTTGCAGAGCCCCAATCAGCCCAGGCCCTGATACAAGTAGAAATGCATGAAATCACCCCCATTTTCCCTGAGGTGCCATGTTGTGGAGTGAGGGGCACAGAGGAAGCCAGGGAGGGGGAGAACAGCCCCTCAGCTCAGGACTCAGGAGGGGGGCCACAAGTGCAGGGAGAGCGCCCCTGAATGCCCCCCAACTTCTCAGAGCTCCCTCCAGCTCTCCAGAGATATGCCCACACGTTAGACTAAGACACTAGGCTCCACATCCTCAGCTCGTAAGGGAGGTTGCAAAGACAAGGCATCGGTGCGTGTTCATCACGCAGCTCTGCCTGCATAGTGAGTACTCAGTGCACCCAGACGTTGTTACCATCTACACTGAAGCTCTGCTCAGACAGGCTCAGTGGCTCATCTGACCACCCAGCTAGGAAGCCGCCAAACCCACCCAGGCAGACAGTCGTGTTCTTTTCATCCCACCGACAACCTCCTTTGGATGTTTAAAGAGATATTGAAGTGCCCATTCTGACTTCCTGAGAATAATATTTCAAACTCCTCACCCAAATCGGGTTTGGAGTGCGATTAAATACAGAACAATGCTGTCCCAGTTCACCATGTCAGATGCCCCAAGTGGATATCCATCTTTACTGTTGGTTCTTCTAGGAAACAACCCACCTCCTCATAGCCTGTCCTACTGAGCTCCCGTGCAGATAAGAGGCAAGCTGGAGAAGGGTCACCCCTCTCTGCACCCCATCCTTATGAGGCCTAACTTTCTGCAGCCTCCTGGGTGCCATAGTGGGAAAACAAGGCCTGGGCTGGGTTTTGCGCACAGCTTTGCCTTCCCTAGCCCGCCTCCTTAGGCTAACGGTAGCAGCAGTCGGCACTGATAGAGCTCTTGATGGGCAATGCTCTTCTCACCTCAAAGTCCTCGGTCTGGGGCGCTGGAGTCAGACAGCTTGAACTTGACTCCTGGTGCCACCACCTTCTACACTATAACCTTGGGCTGGTGATGTGGACTTTCTTTTTTGGCAGATGTAAAACAGAAAACAACAGAACCTGTTCTATAGGTTTGTCACAAGAAAAAAAAATGTCTAAAGCATGCTCAGCATAGATCCCAGGACATAGTTGGCAACACATACGTGTTAGCTTGAAAGAATAATTTTAAAATATATTAACAGTGTTATATAGGCCACAGAGCTTACATACTGTAGAGCCAGATGAGCCCATTCCACATTCTTATTCCCACTTCTCAAGACCCCAAGTGGATGACCAAGAGTCTCTCTGCCAACAGCTTTGCTCCCCACCGCAGTGCCCCAAATTGGCACCAGTTGACTGCTGGGAGCTGGTCTCACCTGATGTTCCCCAGAGTAGCAATGATGAGCCCCAAGGCCAGCCCGTGAGCCAGGGCAGGCTGCAGCAGCCCAGTGTCTGGACTGTTCTCGATGACCGATAGACACCCGATGAAGATGAAGAGGGCAGAGCCCAGCAGCTCCACCACGCATGGCTGTACATATCGCTCATACCAGGACACACGGCACCTCCCACCCATGCTGGGCTCCTTCGTCTTGCTACTTCCTAGCTCCACGTCACACATCGGTGCCTGCCGTAGGGAAAAAGAGAAGAGATATGGGTGGCAGGGGTCCCCAGAAAGAAGCCCCCGCCCACCCCCAGCCTTAAATATATCCTTGGTGTCCCCTCGCCATGCCAAGCTGGAGTGGGAGACACAGCAGCCAGCTCACCTCCCCAGCCATCAGTGTGAGGAAGTACAAGTCGGAGCTGCCACGAGCTTCACCTGCTGCGCTGGGTCTCACACGCTTATCTGAGCAACAGGGACCGCTACAGACTGCCCTTTTAAAGGACTGGATTTGCTCACCAAAAGTGTTGAAAAAGCAATAAAGGTTGAGTGGGAGGTGGCCCAGAAAACTAAACTTTTAATATCAACAGGGCAAGGGGTGGGGACAAGGATTGCTGGGCTTTGTGCCAGCAGCAGGAAAGGTTAGCCTGCTTGCATCATTCCAGAGACACTCCAGGCCCCACTCCTTAGAAGGGAAAGACCCAGTGCCCCAGCTCTCTGTGGTCCAAAGGTGGCCAGCATGTGTACACAGGCAAGAGGAGGGCCCTTTGCTAAGCAACAGCAAACTCAGCTTCCATTATTTTACCACAGTTCCCAGGGGCAGCTCCTCTTTTCTAGATAGGGCCTTTACCTACACTTACCCTGATCACCTGATTCATGACACCCCAGCCATCAAGGCAGCAGAGACAGCATGGCACTGCTGTGTGTGTTAAAGCCCATGGACTTTGGAAACAGGGAGCTGGGATGGGACCTACAGTCTCACGCATATGAGGCAGGTACTCTACCAGTGAGCCACACCCCCAGCAGGGCTGCGGGAATTGAAATCCTAGCTTGGCTATGAGCTAGTCATATAACTTGGAGCACAACTAAATTCTCTTCACCATTGTCTCATCTGTGAATGACAGTGAACGAATGTCATGGTGTCCTTAGTGAGGTTTAAATGAGTTAATATATGTAAAAGGCTCAAGGCAGTGCCAGGTACATTACAGAATACCAGTGTCCATTAATTTAGAAAATACCCATACAAAACAATACACAAACATTAATGTCCATCAATTTAGAATGCATAGTTAGGTGTTACCAAAACTTATTAGGAACTTTGTATGTATCAGGCACTAGCTCTGTATGTATTGCCTCACGTAAACACTTCATGAGGTAGGTACTATTTTTATAGCACTTTGCAGGTAAGTGGTTTCTAGAAGTTTGATGTCAATATCACACAGTTTATATGATTGCAGCACTATCGTCAAGAGGACATTGTGATTACACTTATATAAGTGGAATCAAAGCTAGAAATACAAAAAAGAAGAATGGGACCGGGATGTGGCTTAGGTGGTAGAGTGCTTGCTTGGTATACATGGAGCCCTGGATTCGATCTCCAGCACCACATAAAAACTAGGCAAGGTGGTACACTTCTGTAAATCCCAGCACTTGGTAGGTGGAGACAGGAGAACAGGAAGCTCAAGGTCATCCTCAGCTACATAGCAAGTTTGAAGTCAGCCTGGGATACATGAGACCCTGTCTTGAAATATAGCAGGGGTGAGGTGGGGGTTGGGGGTAAGGTGGTAGAGGGTAGAACAGCAAGATGGCTTAGTAGGTAAAAGCACTTTGCCTCCAAACCTCATGACTGAGTTCAATCCCCAGGACCCACATGGTGGAAGGAGAGAGCCAACTCCTGTATGTTGTCCTCTGACCTCATACCCATGCCATGGCACATGCACACGTGCAACACACACACACACACACACACACACACACACACACACACACACACTGAATGAAGGAATGAATAAATGTTTTTAAAACAGTGATTTCCAGAGCCTGGGGTCTGGGGTGGGAGTGAGTTAGTGTTTAGGGGGACCTAAGTTTCTGTCAGGAGGGTGGTAACATTCTGGAGGTGGATGAAAGAGATGGATGTAAAACAACTGAATGTACTTAATGTCACTAAACTGTACATTTAAATTGGTTAAAGTGTTAAATTCTATGCCATGTACATTTTACCACTATTGGAAGAAAAAACTCCTGTAAGCTAAGCTATACTCTATTACCTTTCTAAGACAGGTGGGTGGGTGAGTGGATTGACAGAAGGGTAGGAAAAAGGAGGAGGGAGGGAGGACAAGATGGAGGGAGGGAAGATGATGGTGTTTCTGTGCTGGATAGCTTTAGTTGTCAACTTGACACACCTGGATTGGGAGAGCCTCAATTGGGGAACTGCCTCCATTGGACTGACCTATGGCCATGTCTGTGGGGCATTTTCTTGATTGTTGAGTGATATGGAAGAGCCCAGTCCACTGTGGTGCCACCCCTGGGCAGGTTGTTCTGTATTATATAAGAAAGTAGGTTGAGCTGGGCGGGGTGGTGCACGCCTTTAATCCCAGCACTTGGGAGGCAGAGGCAGACGGATCTTTGTGAGTTCAAGGCTAGCCTGGTCTACATCGTGAGTTCCAGGACAGCTGGGGCTACAAGGAGACTGTCTCAAAAAGAAAAGACAAAAAAAAAACGGTTGAGCACAGGCCAGGGGAGCAAGTCAGTAAGCAGCATTCCTCCGTGGCCTGTGCTCCAGCTCCTGTTTCCAGGTTCCTGCTCTGAGTTCCTACCTTGGGCTCCCTCAGTGATGAATTGTGACTGGGGAGATGTAAGCTAAATAAACACTTTCTTCCCCAAGTTGGTATTGGTCAGAGTGTTTTGTCATAGCAATTGAAAGCAAACTAGAGCAGAAATTGGTACCAGAATCATGGGGTATTTCTGTGACAGACCTGACCTTGGTGTTTTGGGGAGGATTGTGGAAGCATTTGGAACTTTGGGTTAGAAAAATCATTGAGTGCTTAGAGTTTGTTGCTGTGGATCTTGGAGAAGTTATGCTGAAAGACTTGTGGATGATGGAGGCTGTGTTACGAAGCCTCAAAGGGAAGCAGAGACTATCAGGGCTGTTTGTGTGATATCTTGAAGTGAGACTCTGTGGCTTCTGGTCAACTGGGGCTGAAGAATCAGCTGTGATTAAAAAGAGACCAGAACCACTGAAGTAAAACCTTTGTTTTACTGGGAAATTTGATGCTGGTTAGCTGGGGCGGAAAAACAAAACACCTGAATCACTGTGGCAAAATCTTCTGGGAAATATTTCCTCAGGGTCCCCACACAGAAGTTATGATCCAGAGGGGACCTGAGCCTCCATCTCAAGCTGGAAGCAGGATTTGGTAATTTTGGTGTAAGAGCCTCCTGCATGGTTCAGGTATTGAAAGCATGAAGGGGTCACAGAGAGCAGCTGAGGTTCCGCACTCTGAGAGGCCAGAAAAGGCCATAGGTGAAAGCACAGCCTCAGTTGCGGTGAAGACCCAGGATTGAAGGGGTCATGGAGAGAATCTGAGGCTCTGCACCCAGAAAGGCCAGAAGAGGCCATTAGTGAAGGTCCAGTCTCAGTTTCAGTGAAGACCTCAGCTTTTTGGAGATGCCAAAACTGTGGGACAACCATCAAGGGCAGCAGCAGATGTAGAATGGAGCCAGCCTGGGTCTGCGAGATGAGCCGTGTGTGCTGTGGACAACAGAGTCTGAGAAGTGGAGCTGCCAAAACCCTTTGGAGTTCAGAAGATCGTGAGTGAATCCCAGATGCCCAGTCTTGAGCTATTTTGCTGGACTTAGGTTTTACTTAGGTGTGCCCGATTCTTCCCTTTTGAAATAAGACGTTACTTGTTTTGGATTTTATAGGAGCTCATAGTTAGACTTTTTAAAAGGCTATGGACTTTTAAGTGTTTGGATTATTTTAAGGACTGTGGGACTTTTAAGGTTGTACTGTCTTACATTGTGATATTGTTAACATCAAAGGTTATGATTTAACAGTGATGTGTTCATGTGTCAAATTGACAAGGGGTCAATTGTGCTCAACAGCTTTAGTTGTCAACTTGACACATCTGGGTTGAGAGAGCCTCGGTTAGGGAATTGCCTCTATTGGACTGGCCTGTGGCCATGTTTCTGGGGAAGTTTCCTGATTGTTCAGTGATGTGGAAGGGCCCAGCCCACTGTGGATGGTGCCACCCCTGGGCAGGTGGGCCTGAATTGTATAAGAAAGCAGGTTGAGCAAGGGCCAGGGGAGCAAGCTAGTAAGCAGCACCTCCATGGCCTGTGGAGCTCCTGCCTCCGGGTTCCTGCCCTGAGTTCCTACCTTGGGCTCCCTGATGAACTGTGACCCGGGAGATGTAAGCTAAATAAACCCTTTCCTCCTTGAGCTGGTCTACTGATCAGAGTGTTTTGTCACAGCAGTCAAAGGAAGACGAGAACGGTTTCCTTCTTTGTTCCACAAGCATTTAAATGGCTGCTGCGAGTCCATCAGTCTTCTACCACTGACTGAAGACGTAGTCAACAGCAAAGACCAGGATTCTACCGTCTCAGAGCATGATCTGAGTGTGCCCTGGGATGGAGAACCAGCATCTCAGTCAGACACAGGAGTTTAGGGATCATTTCTACCACCCCTCTGACAACTCAGCACACTAGCATGCTCAGCGCCTCACAGTCCTCTGAGATAAGTCTTGTTATTCATTGCCCCTATTTCCAGATGATAAAGTGAGGCACAAAGAGATGAAAGACCTTGCAGGCAGTGGTGTAGATCAAAAGTATCAGGTCCAAGACAGAAGTGGATATCTCTAGACAAAGGCTGGACAGTGTGCTGACGGCCTTGTCAGCCAGGGCCCCGGAGCACAGCCCTCCCCAAGGCCTCTGTGCCTGCCCAAAGGCTTAGCCCCTACTTTCCTGCTGGTTATCTTCAATCTTGTTTCCTGCCTTTTCCTGTACCACAGCACAGGGAGCAAGATGTTTCTTCTGCCTTCTTCTGTGTCCCTGTGAACAACAAGATAAGAGTCATCCCACATCCTGCTTACTTTACCCCAACTCTCCCAGTGCTGTTCCCAGAACAATTCTCTCCTGTTTGCTCCCAGGCCAGCACTACTTGCTTTTAAAAGAAATCAACCCATGGATGGGGAGATGACTCAGTGTGTAAAGTCCTTGTCATGCAGGCATTTGAGTTTGAATATAGTCTGTACAGGGAGTCTCTAATCCCAGAGTTCCTACAGCGAGATGGGAGGTGGAACAGGACAAGCCTCAGAAGCTCATGGGTCAGCTAGTCTAGGGTATGCAGCGTTGAACAAAAGACGCTGACTCAAATGAAAGTAGAAGCAGAGGACTAACCCCGGAGGTTGTCCTCTGACTTCCACATGTACGTTGTGACACACAAGCACACATATTCACACACATGAACATTAACACATATGCACACAATAAATAAATCCAGTATTCACTATACACCTGCCATTAGCCCCCTC